GAGAGAGAGAGAGAGAGAGGCGGTGACCTCATTGTCGTCGCGAGGCGGAGCGAACCGCTGCAACTTTTGGATGAACTTCTGATTTGAACAAACCGAGAGGCGGTCGGCACAGTGCGCGGACAACAACAGATACAAAGGTGAAGAGACCCAAGAGGAGGTTTTTTTTTTTTCCCCCTCCCTGCTCCCAACTCTTTACAGCCGGTTTTGGTACCTCTTACCCGGCCGTGACGGTTGTTTGTATGCCGGTGACTGACCAGCGAGAGCGTTTATTTATCTTTATTCCTCTCGACAACGCCGCGACAAGGTGGACATTAATAAAGGTGAGTGCACTCTCTTCCTCCGCTGCTCTTCCCATTGACACACTGGGCGACACCGACACCGTTAGCTCTTCTGGTCAACAAGCAGTCGAGTTGTTTATTTCGATGTCTGTGCATTAACTACGTGGGTGGTTTTCAGGTAGACAACTGCACTGAAAAAAGTTCAGCTAGCAGTGTGGGTAACGTTGCTTGTGTGGTGTGTGGCGGCTCATACACCGCCCTTATCTTCTAGCAAATATCCCTTTTAGTTAGCTGTGTTTTAACGGGCTCATTCACCATTCACGTCGTTGGCTAAAACATTTGGATGTGTGTGGCTTTTTTTTTTTTATTGCCACAGTTCGGTTAACATTGTCGTCCTCTGAGCCTCTTCTTAGGAGAGATCCACTGTTTTTTAAAATGCAGACAGCGATTCACCGTTGCTCTTAAAGAAACAGGAAACCAACACCATCAGATAAAGGTAATTGTTGTTTGGATAAGACCCTGCGTGACCGCTGCATAACTGTGATGTGTAGCTGCGGTCGCTCTTGTGCGTTTTCCCTGCCATCCTCCACCTCGCTGTCCCATCTTTTCTCACTTTTGGGAACGATGACACAACCGCAGTGAGATGATTTATTGGTATCAGAGAAAATCATACTTGTAGTGAAGCAGCTGTTTTTTTTTTTTTTGCAGGAGCTTTACATGACTGTTTGCAGTGCACTTTGTGTTTGCCATGCATTGCTGTGGCTTGTGTGGGTTGTTTGGACATTTGCAAGGTGTGGATTCATTTCATTTTTTTTTGCAGGGGAAAGTTTATGAATTGTTTCTCTTAAAACCAGGCTTCTAGCCTATTAAATGTTACTGACCGTGCTGGTTACTGGAGAAAACAACGCTCAAATAGGAACTTCAGGGAAATCAAATATCAAGTTTAAGCTTAATTTCTACCCGGTGCTCTGTCAAAACCAGTCTCATTAATCAAAATGGCCGTCTGTGTAGTCTAGTCAGATTTGAGCAGTGATGTAACAGTGCTACATTTAAGTGAAGGTGCCACAAAGGCTTTGATCATCAAACGCTTTTTCCCTTTGAGTGAAACTGTTTAGATTTTTTTTTAGAAGTTCTAATACGCACTACGGTTTGCGTGTGTGCGAGTTTGCGAGTTTGTCAGTTTGTTGTGTAGTCCACGCTTGTGTCCGAGCTTTCCTCTGCCCTAATGACATTCTGTGTTGTAAGTGGACCCCTGTGTTGCCGCTCTGTCTTCTGTTATTGCTGCCATCTCAACCTGTGGAGTCTGTCCTGGGGCTACCAGCTTCAGCCCTCCAGGGGGCTCACACACACACACACACCCACTGCTTCCTCCTTTGACAAGTTCTAAATGGACGCGTCAAAGAGATCTCATCTCTATTCATCGGGTGGCCGGGGTGGGTCAAATTCTCAACTTGAAACACAACAGCAGCATTAGAGATATATTCTCCGCGAGACAGCATTTCAGCTGCTTTGTCTGCTTTGCTTTGGCTACTGCAGCCGCTACGTCAAAAGAAACCCCCCCCCCAAAAAAAACCTCTTCTCATCGAACATGTCATGCCATCAGCCCTCCCTTGTCTGCGGCTCTGAATGCCAAGGCTGAGCAGATCTGGAGGCTGTGTTGCATTTACAATATTAAGTAGGCTATAGAAATTGAGTGTGTAGGTGGAAGCGCACATGTTCTGTAACACATGTAGCTGCCGAATTAAAGGGGAGGTGGGAGAAAAGAGGAAAAGGGAAAATGTCGGGTTTGCAGATGGGCAGCTGAAAGATTGAAAGGCCTTTTGGGATGGAGAGCGGCTGAAACGTCTCTAGGTGTTCCTGGATTGAGCAGCTGGAGTTGGCTAAAAACTTGTCTCCGAAAGCCCTTCCCATTGTAAGTACAGTTTTCAAATGAAGATTTCCTCTAATGTGTATCCTATGCATATGTGGAGCTGGCGAGGTCTTTGGCAGCGCGCACAGAGTGAATTCGGGCAAATGCAAAGTCAGGAAAAAAGAGGACATTTTAATCTCATAGCTGGCCAGCTTGCACTTTGACCGTCTACATGCAACGCATAGTGCTGACAGGAGCTGAAAGTGGGGGTCTCACCTGTTTACGACGTCCTACGCTTGCCTCACTGTACTCACCCCTCCCTTACCCGGCTACTTTCTAGCATCTCTTCCTCGTCCTCTCCTTCTGTCTCACTTCTGTCACTAGTTCTTTACTCTCCACCTCCCACGATTCCCCCCCTCCCTTCTCCCATCACTGATGGTGCCTTTTCCTCTCGTCTCGTTTCCTTCCTGTTGTGGAAAGCATGCCAGGACTCTGACATTCTCATCATTTCTGTCCACATCCCTCACCTTATCTCTCCTTCTCTCTTTCTCCCTTTCCCCCCCTCCCTCTTCCTTCTCTTCGTTTCTCCTTTTCCCTGTGTTTCCCTCCCCTTCTCCTCTGTCTCTCTGCATGCTGGGGATTGGAATGTGAGCTCCCTCTGTTTAAGGTCTTGGGGTGGGCTGTCTCTTGAGAAATACCAGAGCAAGAAATACTCGTTAACAGTGAATAGATTGCACTGCCGGGCAGAATGATTTAATAAAACTACAAGGCCACAGTAAATCTGGGCTTTTCTTACGTAGAGAATTCAAAGGTGGCCTTCTGGCTCGAATGCTGTACAGATTATTACTGTAACCTGAACACAATAACACCTATTTCAAGCGTGTTGCGTTAAATGCATCACTGCCAACTCTTAATTGCAACAGCAGAATCACACCAAGATGGCTGTAGGATGATACAGTACACTAGCTCTTTAGCACTGCCCATTAAAAGCATCATTCACACCACAAACAAGGTATAGTATGTTTGTGTGGTCTGATAGTGGACGGACTACAGGAAGGAAAGGTCTGATGAATGGTCTATTGTTCATTTTTTTTCAATTCAAACTTAAAATATACCTAAATGGGATTCTTTTTTGGGTCCTTCACCTGACTGAAAATATTGAGTTGTGCTATGAAAGTGAAAACAAAATCAGCACATGGAACTTCCACTATCCACTATCATCCAAAGATAATAAACGCCACTAAACAGATTCATTTTTGTAGCCTCCTTCTTTTTATTCGGCAGACAGTTGAGCATGTCTGGCTATTTTTCTAAGATTGCTAAATCTAGAGTATTTTTAAATTATCTTATCTCCAATGACGTGCAGCGTTGTTAGAAAGCCTGGGCCTGTGTGCGCTGACACTTTTGAAGTGCAAGCCAGCATATTGTTTTCACTTAACAAACAGCCCTTGTGGTGTTTCCTCAGATATTCAAAATTGCATATCTCTTTTGATCCATGGTCCTTTGCAGAGGATAAATCGGAAACCACGTTGAGGCTTTCACTCGGCTATGTCAGGGCCTTTCATAACAGCCAGAGAAGGAAAGAAAGGGCACAAAAAGAGTGTTAATTTTAGCCATTCCACCTGAGGTGAGGGACAGTTGCTAAAATTTCCCCGTATTGAAAGCCCTTTCTCTTTCTAGATTTTCTCCTCTCTGCCTGGTGAAATAACCTCTTAATAAGGGCTTTAAGAGTGGATTATAGCACATGAAAGCAGCGTGGATTATGAAAAAAAAGCTCCGATTTCAGTTGTGACAGATGAGGAAAAATCTATACAAACAACATGAAACAATGACTAGGCAGGCTAATCCATGCAGAAGTAAACAGAAGGAACATACTGTACAGATGGAGAGCACAGAGAGAGAACGACAACAGCCTAGATATTATGAGAACAATACTTAAATGCTGGGAGTATAGAATCATAGAGTGGACACAACGATCAAATGCTAAAACCTAAAGTTTTTCATAAAGATGTAAAGACTGTGTGTTCTGTGGCTGTAGCTTATTAGGCACGCACCGATCAAATTCTTTCTCTGCCAATACCTCAACACGGGGTATCTGTCGATATGAGTACTCAAGATGAAAGCAAATTTAGTGATCCAAAAGCTACTTGTATTATGAAATACTTCTCTAAGTCCGTTTAAGCCTCTTTAAGCACAATAAACAACAATAAAGCTTTTTGAACCGGGCAGAACCCAAGTTACATTACCCCTTTCTTAGGGATGGGAACTGACAACATTTTATTGAGGCTGCTCTCGACTCCAGTTCTCTATCGATTCCCCAGTTAGTCCAGATTCATATTCTGTGTGGGAAAAACTGCATCGATCAAAGGAATCCAATGGATGGAAGCGGTTCTCACCCCTACCCTTTTATTTAGATGATGTTGTGTGTAAATTCTAAACCTTTTTGATTTATATACAGAATTGATTGCACTCCTGCTGCAGAAAGAACATCTAATTGAGGATTTCACCCTTTTTCTTTTTTTCCTTCATATAGGCCTATTAGGCCCCCTTTCGACCGATGCATTGATCCAGAATGAACCAGTGTTTGAGATTGTTGTGAATGTTTTAAGACCTATTCCATCTGGCTTTGTGATTCTGCTCCTGGCGAGGAATTAAATGTAGGTCTGACACTGCTCAGTTTTCTATAAACACATCAAATGGCTGAACACAGATCATAAATATTGGACTTCTATGCTCTAAAATAACTGAAGGCCTAGGTTATAACCTTGTTGTAGACTTCGGTGGCAAATTGTAAATCATAAGTGCTGCTCTTCTTAATCGCTGAGATGCTAACATGCTTGTGAAGTGCACGTTGTTGTGTTAACTTCATAGAAAAGTTTCATCACCATGAATCTGCACCACCACCGCGGTGAATATCTAGTGTTTTCACACAGACCTGAAAGTGATTCTGGGATTTAGCTGTGATCTGTAGGTATAGTTTGTAGAACTGGGAGAACAACATGGCAGCTGTCTGCTTTGAAAAGTCAAGTGCAGGTGGAGCATGTGTTTATTAATCTGCATCGTAAATGGTTTTGTGTGTGAAATGGACGGCTTTCTCGGGATGTCCTCGACTCTTTCCCTCTTCGACTCCATGATGACATCGCAAAAACGCGACTGTGCACGAGAACTGTAAATCTTATCCCCAAACATGTTT